TCATGGCTGTCGCCGGCCAACGTGTTGTTGGTGTTTTTTCAATGTTTGCTTCAGACATGGGTCACGACGAGGCGTTCCCCATAGCAACCCCTAGTGAACGCAGTGTCTCGTTCCCTACTCAGGGAACCATAGTTACATACGTAAACTGAGACGTTTTTTTTTCCTACTTTTCACAATAAATATTGATTCAGAGCCACACAGGAGAAAGGAGAGGACTACTTAGAATTACAAATATTTTTCTCATAAAAATATGCAGGTTTGTTTTTTTTATTTTTACTGTTAAAAACTAGGACTGTCAATAGAATAAAATTAGTTAAAGGGGTCATATGATGCAATTTCAAGTTTTCCTTTCTCTTTGGAGTGTTACAAGCTGATTGTGCATAGATAAGATCCCTGAAGTTGCCAAGACTAAAGTCCATTATTAACTGTCTTGATATTTACTTTGAAAGCTGAAGCGATTATGGTAAGGGGCGTTGCATTTCCGACGCGTGCTTGTGGTGTTTGGCCAATCACAATGCATTGGGTCAGCTGGCCAATCAGAGCAGTCTGCTCTGATTGGCCAATCACAATGCACTGGGTCAGTTGGCCAATCAGAGCAGACTGCGCTTGTTGGAAGGAGGGACTTTATAGGACCTACAATAATGTACAGTATTTGAAAAATAATGTGTTTTTTGAACATTAAAGCATGTCAACATATTCTGTTACACCAAATACACAAAATAATGATCTTTTAAAAAGCATCATATGACCCCTTTAACATGAACTATCAGAAAAAATATTTCTTAAGTATTTATTATTTTTTGTTAGTCAATTTCAACAGTACTAAATTATAATTTCAAAATTATTAAAATCAAAAGTTGTATGCAATCTGTGAGCATTATTTCATCAACTTGGACTAACATGAACTAAAAATAAATAGTTGCAATAAATAGTAATTTGAACATAGATTAATAAAAACTATAATGTACTGCTCGTTGTTAGTTAATGCATTAGGGTGATTCTATAATTGGAGATACATTTGGCATTGCAGAAAGTTAAGAAAAAAACTTTTCACTAACAGATTTTTTTTCAGTATCTTATTGAAAACATATTTAATTTTGGGATATCCTGGAGCCCGGACATCCAGGAATTTTTTGCAGTGTCGTGCCGGGGGCCTGATGATCAAGAAGGCTCCCGCAGAAGCCTCTGACATGGCCGCATGATCCAGGAAGCATGAGGCCGGGACCAGGGCTATCATACCGGCTGGACATAATGTCGACGAGTGATGTAACACTGCAAGTCGAGCACCTGGTTTCTGAATCCAGCAAAGGTGTGCTCACAGAGGACCTACCTTAGAGAGGACAGAAACACACAGGTCCCGGAAAAAACACTGCAAAGA